GTTTGAACACTCGATGATCATCTATGTCCGTGTTCGTTTTGAGTTCCCGGAGGTCTCAGTCGCGCGCCTTGCCTCAAGATCTCTCAACTTGTCTATTTTGTGCTTGGTTGTGGACCAAGGACTTGTGTTTTTGCCTTTAAGGGAAGAGGGTGGCTTGTTGGCCATCCCCTCAACCCATCGGCCAAGGCTTGAAGCCATCGGCCTTGTTTTCTTGCCATCGGCCAAAAGTTTTGGCCGATCGGCACTTTTTTTGGTCGGTTAGCCCTTGTGTTAGTCTATCGGCCATGTTTTCTAGCCGAGCCATGTTCATCTGCTTTATGCAGATATTTTTTGCCAACTGGCATGCATAATTCGCCCCCTCCATACGCGTGTATAGAGGGATTTGCCCCTTGGCTTCGATTCTCCAAGAAGCCTTAGAATTGGATTTCTATAAGAGGGGAGGCCCTCCTCCCTTCTCAGAGGTTCTGAAATTGAGGGTTGGAGAAGTTGTATCTATTTATCTCTATATTTCCCTCTCTTTACATCTTTGTGTGTGTTTTTGTGTTCTAAAGGGTGTTTTGTTCTCACTATTGCACACAAACACCTAGCAAGACACCATCCTTGGTTGCTAAGGCGCTAGGGAGTTGGTGTTAGGGTTCTTGAGGTGATTTTGATCAGAGAAAGGTGATGGAGCCTTGTTCTTGAAGGTGTTCTTCAAGGGTGAGCAAACTTGCTTTTAATACCCCTTTCTTGCTTAAGCTTTTAGCCCTTCTTGCTTATTGTTTTAAACTTAGCTCTTAACTGATAAAAGTTCTGATTTTACTTTCTTTAGACCTTTGATTAAGGTCACTTTTTGGTTTGGGGTTGTGTACCCCCTCTTAGGCCTTATTAGGCCTTGTTTTAGGCCATCCCTTTTGGCCCTTGTTCTTGGCTTTGCATGACCTTCCTACCATTGAAATCCAGAGGATTTTCAGTGGTGGGAAGGTGGTTTTGGAGCCCTAAATAGGAGAGGGTCATCCCCTCTCCTTGTTGTCTTGTATGCTTGCATAAATGGCTTATGTTGATAGCATGTTTACTTAGCTTGTTTTATCTTCATTTCAGCAAGTATTTGGTGTTATTTTACCATGTTTTACCTCTATCTAAGGTTGGTTTAATGGTTTCTTGCATGCTCCATATACTTGTCTTGCAATCCCTTCATTTGCCTTAACATGCATCTTATGATTAGACTATCATTCTTGCATATTTTGGCTCAACTCCATGAAGCTTTTAGTCACGATTTACCATGTTTAAGCTCTGATTTGAGTTGTTTTGATCATATATGTCATGCTTTGTATAGCCATAAGGCATTCTAGCTTGTTAGCTTTGAGTGTCCAAGTCACTAGCATGCTTTACTTGGACCATTTCAATGATTTGACATCATTTGTTATACTATTTCAGTCCATGTTTCATGCTCAAACACTTACACTTGTCACTCCTTTAATGTTTTAAAGAGTTGATGTTTTATGTCTCATGTTTGGGTCATTATGCATGCTTCCATGCTTAGGTCATTTGGATGCCATCTAATCGGGTTTTGGGGCTTACTTTGACATGCCATAACTCTGATTTTGGTTGCTTAAATCATGCCATGTTTGGTTCTAATAGGTGTAGTGTAACACCCCTTTTGTAGCCTTGCATGCCTCATGCTTTTGGCATTGCCTTGTAGCTTGTGTTGGCTAGTTTCGAGCATGTTTTTGGTCTTGTTAGGACCTACCTTGGGACTGTTTTTGGTCCCCTTGGCCCTTTGGGGCTTGCTTTGCATAGCCATGGTTTGAGCCCTTGGCTAGCCTTAAGCCTTGTGCTTTCTCGCATTCTTTACTTGTGTAGTTTGGTTGGTTTGGCACCTTTCTTAACATGATTTCAGAGCTTATAATGTATGTAACATGTCCATGTTTGTCTCCTTTTAAGTGTTCTTGAAAGTTGTCCTCTTATGCTTAGGTGATAGGCCAATTGGCATGCATGTTTGTATGTACCTTTGTCTTCATTTCCATAGCATTTTGGCCACTGATTTGGGCATGTTTAAGAGTTGTCCACTTTAGTTTAAGTCCATCTTTTGCATGTTGTTGCATGCTTGCTTCATTTTGCATGCTGTTGCATGCTATGCATGTTTGCATATTTAGGTTGTATGCCTATTGCATATTGTATGCTTGCATGCTCATGTTGCATAATCTTGTTGCATACTTGAGTTGTTTGCATGCTTGCTTGCATGCTTAGGTTGTATTACATTGTGTGTGCATTCCCTTACCTCTTAATCAAGCATGATAGAGGTTGGGGCCCCTTATGTGTTTTTTGTGCATTTCATTCCATATTGAATCGCACACTTGGCTCTTTTGGCCATCATGCATTGAAATGCGTGATTGGTGGTCCAAGAGTCGAGGACTATACTCCCTTGAGTCCATGACATGATAGGGAGGGTGGTCGTGCAAACATTGTCTTGTAAATGTATTGTCATGCTCTGTTTGTCCTCTGCTGTAGCAACAGAAGCATTCTGCAGGAAGAGATGGTCGGTCAACCATATTCAGTGCCGATCGGCTAAAAGTGTTTGGCCGAGAGCCTCATTAGTGGTCGATGACCCATTTACCTTGGCCGATGGCCTCATCTTTTGGTTGATGGACTCATGGCATGCCCACAAAGTGGTTCAGAAGTGTCACAGAAGTTGGCACAATTTTCAAAGGTACAGAGCAATGCAAACAGAGGCAATATGAAGCATGGCGACGGATTTCCGAGCAAAGTCCATCAAGCATGCATTCGTCCCTCTTCCCGAGGCTGATTTACTGTTTTTCGTAGTTTAGTTAATTTGTTAATTAATTAAGTGTTGTAATAATTAATTGCAGCTAATTATTCATTTGTTTGTGTAATTAATTAATTAGCTTGTTAGTTAGTTAATTAGGTTGGTTTGTATTATTCTTTCGGTCCCTTCGTCAAGAGGGCGCAACTGTGTAATAAGCGTGCGTATGTGTGATGCATGTCTTCTAACCCCCACTTCTTTCTCCCTTTTACTTAACCGCTTACGATGGCTAGTTTTAGCGCATATTTCATTTAGCATCCTTATGCTATGCATGTTTGCATCCATCCATTTGTATTGCATGCACTAGGCTCGGCGTATCATACTAACTGCATTGTATTTCAATCCCAAGTTGAATACATGTATCGAATTGTCGCATCTCATATGCCATTTTAGATTAGCCGAGCCTATTCTAGTTGCACTTTGCATGTGTTGCATTATCCATCTTAACATGAATTAGGATCATGCATTGATTACTAACTAACTCTTTGTTTTGGCTCGGAGTACTAGGTAAGCTTTTATGCTTTAGCATCTTGCATGTGTGCAAATGTTAACATGACAGCATACTTGCCATGAGACTAATTGCTTATATGATATAACTGCCTGAATGCCTGTGGGTGAAGGTTGGATTGCTTGAATTGGAATAATTCATCGAATCCGCATTTTAGCCTACTTGCGAGTAGCAAACTTCAAATCATTTTCCAAAGAAACGAATATACAATACTTTGTTCCAAATTAGGCAATCTAGTCTATACTTGTATGTTGTGCGCATCACGTAGTAAGATTAGCTAATTAACCGGAATAAGAACGCATGTGTTTTCAAAAACAAGATATCACGCTTAGTACAGACCGATCTTCGATCAGGCGAGCTGGGGTGCTCATAGATGATCTTCCCCAATCGTACCCAAGTTCTCGAGCCGAGGCAACTTTGGTGATGACGGATACGTGGCCTTAGGCAACAAGTCAGGGTTTCCTAAATTCCCCCAAAATAAAATATTTAGGTGGCAACTCTGTATCTGGCAAAGCAGTCCATGTTTGGCACTTCTTTACAAAAATTAGTTTTCCAAAACAATTTGCTGGAGTTGGACTCTTTGGTGATTTATCAATCTCACATTGCACATTGTGAGATCAGATTAAGAATCGTGACATTTGAGTCCGAACTGTAGCATGAAGCCCCCAGGGCGCATCTACACACATTGATGTGAGGTATCATTGAATACGTGATGTATTGGATGAAAAATTGCTTCAACTTGAGAAGATTCACAGCAATGAGAATAGGTCGGATATGATGACTAAATCTTTGTCTGAGGAGAAACATGATTTTTGTACAAGCAAAGCTGGGTTGGTGGTGCCCCCCACCTAAGTTGGGAGGGAGAGATTTGTTGGGTGATATCCCTCCTAATTAGAGTGGGTCCCACACAAAGACTCAAATGAATCAATAAATTTTTTATTTTATTATTAGTTGTAAAGCTTCTCTTGGAAACTTTGTGACTTCCAATGACTAAAGGATGGAAAAGAGACTTTTGGTCTCTAATTTCAAACAACAAACATAGTAGCAAAACAGAAGAGAGAGAGAGAGAGAGAGAGAGAGAGAGAGAAGTGAAGAAGGAGTTGGTTTTTTTTTCATAGTTCAAGACTTTCGTCTCTAATTTCAAACAACAAACATAGTAGCAAAACAGAAAAGAGAGAGAGAAGTGAAGAAAGAGCTGGGTTTTTTTCATAGTTCAAGTTAAGATTGGTTGGTCGTTTCTTACTCAATCCTGATGAAATTTTAGAGGGTTGTTCATGAAAACGAGCTCTATGTTTTGATCGGAGCAAATCTTGTCAAAGCTCTATTGGATTAGTAGTTTGGGATGTCCGCTTTGGTGATACATAAATTTCACCTCTCGTTGATTTTGTTGAAACCTACCTTAGTGATGATGATATAATTGTTGATTAGTGACTAGAGATGATATTTTATAACCCCATTATTATATAGTAGAAGTTAATTCGGAGTTGGACCCGTAAACGTGGACATTTTTGCCGAACCACATTTATTTATTTATTTATTTATTTTTTTTTGATTGGCAAATAAATTTTGTGTTTTGTGATTGTTTTGTTATAATTTTTCAGCCATATTATTATCTATTGTTTGTGGGTTGTTGCCCATTTTTTAATTATACAAAAAGGAAAAAAAAAATATAAGGATTTTCCCAACAAATTGACATATAGATAAACACAAATTAATGTTCAAACAATATTTTACAAAAAAATTTAGTAATAAAAAAATATTTACAGTTTCATTAAATAAATAGTTTCTGGTGTCACCATCATCACTTGCCACCAATCTACCCAAAAAAAAAATCTAGTACAATTGAGTTTCAAATCATAACAAGAAAGCTAAATAATGCTGCAAATAATTGAAAAATCACAAAAATTATTAAGAATTCAATAACTTCATCACAAATTACTCAGATTTGAAGAAAGGTCCTCCAAGTGCCCTCTAAATTGCAAGCAAACTCCTGAGGGTGCGAAACGTTGGGTATTTTCCAGTAGTTCTTTTTGGAGATTTTGCGCTGTACTCCGATCGAACTTTGGCCATGCTGAGGGTGGTTGATGAGCTCCACTAGCGCCTCGGTATCATCATTCATCAGTAGAAAGAAAAACTTAAAGTAGCATCTTTGAATAAGAGCAATTATTTGTACACTCCAGCCAGCAAGAAAACAATCCCATGAATCCCCCCTCTCTCGGTAGTGTGACGTCCCTTTCCCGTCTTTGTAATACTCTTAAAAATTCATCCGAGCTCAAACTCCCATCATGATTAGTGTCGAACACATAAAATATCATATCCACCACATTCTCTGTGAGAGAGATACCACAAACCTTGCAACCAAACATACTAACTCTGTTAATATCAGTTATGAAATATGCTCAATTGATTGGAAAAAAAAATAAATGCATAGTAAGTTTATTACATGATATGCAGCTCTTTGGAAATCAGGCTTTGTCAAGAGCCCATTCACTTTCCCATGACTAAAGATTGCGAGCGACAAGGGGCGTAACCTTTTACGAAGCTCTGCCAAATTCTTGAATTCTTCGAATGTAATGCGTATGTCTTTGAGATTTGGTTCATCGTTTAATTCTTCAACACGGTCGAGAAACTTGTTTACCTGTCGCATGTCAGCAGATGCAACCATTGACAACGCAAAATCCTTAGCAGTTATGGTTCCTTGTGACTTGTAGTCATAATGGGCAAACTCCAACCGCAATATCTACAAAAGTGTAAAAGATATAGATTATAATTACTAGAGGTGTGCGAAATATAAAATAACAGTTAGGTGAGGACATGTTTGATTAGTAGGATTATAAGATAGGATTGAGATTGTCAGTCTATAGACTCACAATCCTATGTTTGATTGTAAATTTTTTAACCGAATTACATGTACGGCAGACATTCAATCAAAAGAAATTGGCGAATTTTTAATATTGAGAGGGATTGGAAATTATAATTGCAAATATGAAACAAAAAAAAACAAAAAACAAAAAAAAATGAATGCATAATAAATGGTAATCTCACTAATTTAATTAAATAACTAATCCTACACTAATGTATGGGATTATTAATCCTTTCGCAATTAATCCTCAAGGAATTGGTTTTGATAACTATTGTACTTAATTGAAGCAGTTGGATCCAAGAGAATTAAAGCAGTTTAGAGCAGTTATTAAGGTCTAAAAAGTGTAACAGATTATACTAACTCAAGTGTAAACTTTATATAATAGTATAGATTATTAACATGAAGTATCAAAAAAACGTTAGATGAACACTACTAAGTGAGATAAAGAAGTAAATGACTTATTTTTACCATATCATATATATTAACTGAATCCCCGAAAAATATGAGAGAGAGAGAGAGAGAGAGAGAGTTGCTTGACTTACTTCATCATGCAAGTCTCTCAAAAACTGAACAAATTTCCCATGTTCTAGGCATTGCTTGCCATCTTTTCCAAAGAAGTACTCTAGAAGACCCCCATCTTCTACAGAACCTGAAACGTTTAGTCCGATACGAAGTCCATCTCTGTGGCGAGCCCCTTGTCTGTTATGTGTTCGCATCAAGGTCATCACCTTCTTAAATTCGTCCTTGTCTATCTCTCTGTTTATTCAGGTAAACAAGATGAAAACTTGAAAATCCATACAAAATATTAGCAGAAGATATCTTTCTATGAGTTTCAACAAAAAAAAAAATACAAACTATTTTACTAGATATAGAAGAAGGTATAAACAAATTGAACAATCATTTGCTCGCATCGTTATAAATAAAAAATAAATAAACCAATGAACTTAGACTTATGATGCACTATGATGCTTAAAGTTAGGAAATGAAAATACTCATACAGAAGATATTTGACAGTCACTTGTGATGCTTTTCTGGTTCTAGCATAAAATACAATTAGAAATATCAAATGTCACTAAAAAAAAAAAAAACAAAACAAAACAAAAAAAAAACATTGTTATATTTATATAAAATTACAAATTATGTTATGCTAGCATTTAAATCAAGTTCTTAATCAATACAAGGTCATACCTCTTCGTAGCCCAGTGATTCTCTTTCAGTAGTTTGTAGTCGTCTGATGACTGTTATAATTTCTTAAACAAATACCCAAAATAATTAATCCATATCAGAAGCTTTTGGGTCAGTTTGGATTTCGTTCTTCTCAGGAACATAACAAACACTCTACTTGGAATACTTTTGTTTTTGATGATTAAATTTACATGAAAAAAAATGAGGAAACTACACTTCTTGAATTATTTAATCAATACCAGAACCACAAAGATAAGAAAAGAAATTAGATGAAAGCAAAAAGAGAGAAGAACAAATGGACATATTTCAAGGTAAAACAACACTGAGTAGTGATATTGATTGTTCAAAAAACTACTAGATTCCTTAGTGGTTGATGAACACACATTAAGTTTAGAGTTTAGACCTACCCATTACTGTCGAGGTCAAACATTTTAAATGCAACAGAAAAGCTTGATTCTGGGATGCTGAGTAGTGTAACAAGAAAAATATACCTGTTGCAAAGAAATAAATTAATAAATAAATTTTAATGAACCCTTTATGTAGATATTGTTAGGTTTTTGTAATTGGTAATCTCGTTTGACAAAACTCCTTTCAGTTGTAATTTTATTCACACTTTTGTTTCAATAAGGCTATGAGTGTTTAAATGCAAATCCAACCAGAATTGTGCCTGTGTAGAGGAGTTTGTACTGCAATTCTGTATCGTGAGCAATCCTTGTTTGCCAAGCACAAATGGAGTCAAAGTTGTTTGACTGCTCAAGCGATCATTTGTGCGCTCAAGTAGTGATGTGAACCATCTAGTATCTCTACCTACAAACTGAACTTCTAGGAAATATTTTTCTTCTCATGAGCAGTGAAGTGTGCACTCGAGCAATTGGCCTATATGTTTACACCGCCTTTTATTCAAACCACTCGAGCGGTGAAGTGTGTGCTCAAGCGGTCTTCCCGACTCTGTTTTCTATAAAGTGTGCAGTTTGTTGTTTTTAAGGTTTAACCTGTCCAAATTCTTAGAGAGGAAGAGAAAACAAAATGTTTCTTATTGGAGGGTGTTTTATATGAGTTTTCTTGGTGTATAGAAGATGATCGATTGATCAATGAACTACATATTGTCAAACATCAAGGGTTGTTCTTATTATTTCATTCACAAAATAGAGCAGTGTTCTTTGGTGGATTCTAGGGAACTTAGCCTGAAGCTTTGGTGGGTTCTAGAGTGGCTCATCGTCATGAATTCAACATCAGCATTGTGAATTCAACGTTGGGCAAGACAATTCTGAAGTGAAGACGGTGGTGGAAAAGACACATCAGGGTAGGTTCAATTCGGGCATAGATTCACTAGGTAATTGAGAGTACTCGTATATAAATTCCTTTTCTTTTCTTTTCTTTTTTTGTCTTCTTAGTAGATTGTTTTCTGGCTTTCGACCGTAATTTTTTTATCACAGTTGGAGGTGCTTCAATTGCAGTTTTTTTCATGTTAAATCATTGTGTCGATTTGTTATTGATTGTTTGATTGGGATTGATATCTCGAAAGTTTTTAGATTTTTCAAATATTTTACAAGCAATATCAATAACAGAATTGTAACTCACTCTGCAAATGATATAAGTCCATCGTTGTCGGTATCGAAAAGCATAAAAAATATTGAAGGAGCACAATGTAACTCGCTAGGAATCCATTCCCCTTTGAGATATCCCTCTCTAATGCGATTTGATTCAGAGGGTGGAAATACAGGGACAACTGCACGCATCAAGTCTGCCGGCATCATAAGTACCTCGCCACTTGGGGTTCGGATTGAGGCAAAGTACTCAAAAACCTGAAACAATAAAAACCACAAAATATAGCAAACATTAAACTTAATAATGATCATAGAAGCAAAAAATTGGTTTCTAACCAGTAACTACAATGAACTCACACAAACTTCATGTATAACTTGAATCTCTAGGTTTATGATGATGAGTTTCAATTTCAGTGCTCAGGAGCCTTCCTTCTTCTCCTTTTTTTTTTAACAACCACAGCTAACAACTAGAGAAGAATTGAGGTGTGCTTTTGTGTATAGTTGGGAGTCAATCTAGTTGCTGTTACAGAATTGAGGTGTATTACTTGTCAGTTGCAGCTTCAGAGTTGCTGCTAGATGTAGAAGCTGTTAGTAAGTTGCTGATAGATTGCTGCTGATAGTAAGTTGCTGATAGATTGAAGCTGTTATGCCCTGGGTGCCACAGAGCTGATATGCCCTGGTTGTGTTCTGTTTTGTATTCTGTTTTTTTCCTGGTTCTTTGTTTTTTCAGTTTTTTGGCTGTTTGATTAAAGCTACTGTAAAGGGGTTCATGCACTCTCTTGGATTAATCAACAGTTTGAATCAGATTAAGGACTGCAGTGGAGGGATTTTAGTTGGTTTGGTACCTTGGTTTGCCACCACTTGGTGAGGTTGGTCTGCTGTTATGTGGTCTGTTTTCTGCTGTGATATGGTATGTTATCAGCTGGTGTCTGCTGTGGATGTTGTTTTGGTGTTTTGGGTGCCAATTTGGAGTTGCTGGTGTTGCTGTTTTGCTGATTGACCAGCACCTGCTTCAGTTGGTTTAGTTCTGCTGACTCTGCTGACTATGTATCTGGGCTGCTAGCTCTGTTGTTTTTGTATCTGTTTTTGTGTTGTCTGTGTATCTGTTGGTACCTCATCAATAGATTCTTGGTTGGTGCTGTCATATGATTGTGTGGGCTGCTTAGTGCCAACCTAGTTGGGATTGGGCGGTTTCACTATGATGGCCTTCGCAACAAACCCCCCCCCCCCCCCCCCCCCCTCTCTCTTTATTGATGTCGTTATTAAGGCACATTTAGGCTCCGTTTGGATGAATGAATTTGAGGTTGAATTTATAAAATTATTGAAGATAGATTAAAAACTTCAAAGTGGGGGATTGAATAGAGCTATGAGACATGTTTTTTTGTTAAGATCCTTGTACGAGTAGAATCTTTATGGAAGGATTTCAAAATAAGTATTTTCACCAATTATTTGAAACCTATCATTATAAAGCTCTCAAATCCATTCTTGATATCTAATTCTAAAAATATGACATTGAACTAAAGTTTACACTGCTCAAATTATTGATGTCAAACCTATTAATTTCAAATCCATAAATCCAAAAGAGCCGCAAGGTGCTTAAGTGTCCCCTCACCAAGATGGTGCACACCACAAGTGACACATTCTTTGATATCCTAAAAGCACTTCTTCAAATGTGTAAATATATTAATGGGAAAGCTAAGACATGCATAAAATTTTTTGTATGTTCCAATATGCATTGTAAATTTAGTCTATTGACTGTAGAATAACAGTAATAATAAATAAATAAAAACTTTCAGCTTTTTCATTGGCAGTTTAAGGATCAGATATTTTTAGAAGTAAATGAAAATATTTATACCATAATGTCAAAAGCACTCAGACCTAAATCATATTCATAAATCTGCTCTGGTCCATAGCTATAACAACGGAGTATATCTTTAGTGAAGAAACAAACCTTTTCAGGAGGACTTTGTGTTCTTATGCGTTTTTCATACTTAAAGAAAACCTTTCTCCTATATGCATCTGAAAGTACAAACAAAACCAGTACTAGAAAGTGTTATCCAAGTGCAAATAAAGAGAGCATCACAATTGAACACATATACTACCTAAACAAAGTGAATCCATGTTCAGAAATATGTTGTGCTTGATTTTGCATTTTTCTTATGTGTTTTTTCAAACAAATAAAGAAAACATTTTCAGATGTGCATTACAAAGTACAAACAAGACCAGTTGTTCTATGAAGGGTTGGCCTTATACAACTAGACATAAATAATTAAACAAACCAAATCAAACCAAACCAAACCAAGCCTCAAGTCCCATCAAATGGGTTCGGCTACATAAGTCCTTCTTCTCTACTTGGTTCTATCAAATGCCATTCTATTAGTCAAATTAAGTAGATTTGTATCTCTATTTACTACCCTAGCCAACGTCAATCTAGATCTATCCCGACCCCTAACACTAAAAAAAGTGATCCATGTTCAAACATTTGTTTTGTGTTTGGCCAAGACCAAAGATGTTGAAATGCAGCCTCGAACTTAACCACTCACAACCTACTACGAAATTTTAAGTCAAAAACTTTTCATCCTAATCCAATTGATATATGACTCTTCAAGCATAAACTAAACTATGGTGAATAACTTCAAGAACCTCAGGTTGAAAGACACCTTAGAGTCATACAAAACAATTAAATTTAAGTTCAAATTAGATTTTACTGATTTCAAATAAATCTCCCAAAAACCATTTATTGCATCTAAGCATGTGAAATATCACATAAACACAAACACAGGCAATCTAACTCTGTCAGTAGACAGGTTAAAGATAGGGATAAATATGAAAATTCACTTAAAAAATTGTACTTTTATGTGATATGTATCATTACTGTAAATACTCAGTTAAAAAATTACACATTTATCCCTAATTTAATATGTTTGGTTTTTTGACAAAATTTGATTGAGAGACTAAATTAAAGCATTTTTTATACAATGACGATTAAATTGACACAATTTAAACGTTAAACACCAAAATGACACAAATCCCATGAGCAAAAATGTAATTAACCCTATTATTCATATCAACCATTAATTAATTTAATTAATTATACCTCCAAATAAGAAGTTGGATTTGTGCTCAGGCTCTGCATTCACATTCGCATTCTCATTCTGGCCCCGTGAATCAGCGAAAGACAAAAAACAATTAGAATCAGAAAGAGAAGACCAGTAAGAAAGCCCCAGGCTCGACCCAACCACTACGAATATCCCCGAAGAGATCGATCTCAGAATCGACTCTAAATCTGAATTCGAGCGACACCTCTTCTTGTTCCCTCCACCACCACCACCATTGTTATTGCTGGATCCACAAGAGGATGAGGATGAGGATGAGCCGTTTGATTGGGTGAAGATCGGACGACTAGCGTTGCGTTGAGATGAAAGGAATCGAGGGATGGAGGGTGAGGATGAGGATGAGAATGAGGATGTTCTGAGGAATGCCCAAGAATGCATAGTATGTGTAGTGAGTTGGATATTTGGATTGGGTCTCCAACAACAAATGGACTGAAAAACAGCACCTTGGCAGAGAAGATATATGTAATGTAATTTAGAGAAGAGAGAGAGAGAATGGTAGGGGTGGAACGGATTTATTTGAACGAGAAATGTGGGGATGGAGGGTTTTTGGGTTGACTGGAGATTTGTTCTCAACGGTCTCTCTCCTGTAACTTACAAGTTAGTTAGTTGATGCCGATTCGTTACTTTGGACCCAACTGTCTCCCCAAAACTTTGAATTTTTAAGAAGTCTGCTAATCAAGTAGATTTTTTTGAATGATGGATTGTCGGGTAGAGTTTAAATTTATGTAATATAAAATTAATAAATAGAATAAATTTAAATTATAAGATAATAATTTAGAATTTTTTTTTTTTTAAAGTTATTAAAATAATCTATTTCCAAACGAGGCCTTAGAGGCTGATTTGTTTGCCCCAAAAATATGTATAATAAACAATTTAAAAATTGAGAAATTATATATTGAACAGTCAAAAATAATGCGTAAATTATAAATATACCTCATGAAATTTGTTTAAAATATGGTTTATTCATGGTTATTTTGAAAATTACATTCCGCTCTTTGAAATTTTTAATTTCATAATAAATAATTCATTTTATTAATAAATTATTATGTTAATTAATAGTTTTTAACGATGTCAAAATTTTATTTTAATTAATAATTTATGTAATTTTATCATCGTATGAGAGAACAGTTAGAAATTTCATTTTTTAAGTCAATTTTGTTAAATAAAATTTTTTTGACAATAAGATGTTTATAATTTTCTAAACTAAAGGAGGCAATTCATATTTTAAATAAATTTCAAAAGATATATTTATAATTTACCTATTTTTAAAATAACGAAAATTATAAACCGCTACCAAACAGGACAGTGAACCTGAGATTGTTGTTTAGAGTTTAATAGCCTTAGACTGAACAAATATTTAAGATTGTCACTTGTTTAAAAAAAAATACAAGTTTTCATTATTTTTTCCTTTTGTATCTCTTTGGTGACCACCTAGCAGGCCACTTTTTGGGATGAAAAAAAATAATAATTCAATTTATTAGCTTATTAATTTATTTGAATCATGTCATATTTCTAATTTTTATGCATTTTTTCATAATAAATTTAAAAGTTAATTTATAAGTCACCTTCCTAAATAACCCATCACTAGCCATTCTTTGCTTCATTACCATCACGGACAATCTCCTTTCACCTCTTTTGTCGATGATCTCATCAACTAGAAATCCCCTCCAACCTCCATCTCTTGTACGCAACAACACATCCCGGCTACTAACAATCACATGTGGGGATGTTTGGATAAATTAAATAAGTGTACATTTTAATTTTTTATTAAAAAATATGTAAAAAAGTAAAAAGATAATATGACTTAAAAAAAAAATTTAAATGTACTATTTTAATACACCCCAAACAAACTCTAAATGTTGTCACTAACTACCACCATCCCCTAAGATTGGCAATGACCTGAAATTAAAAATAAATAAATAAATCAATTATACCTCATTTAGAGTTTGACTTTTTTTAATGATTTTTTAACCCAAAAAAAAAAAAAGAAGAATTAATACATTTAAAAATGACCTTTTTTGGTTATATAAAAAAACTAAATTATTTACATTTTTAGTGATATTTTAATTTTTTTTAAATAAATTTTAAATTTTTTAATCAAAAAATTAAGTTGACAAATGACACCTTAAAAAATCAACTGTTTTAAGTACACATCAAATTTGTTAAAAAAAGAAAAAGAAAAAAAGTGCACATGAAACAAGAAGGGGTGATTTTCATGAGAAGTTATTGGTTGGTCTCGGGATATTGCTTCACATTATTAAAGGATAAGTGTTTCATTGTCCCCCAAAAAGAGACAGAAATGTGGTAGGTTTCACTTATTTAACAAATAGTAACCAAATTAAAGCACTACCTCAACTTGCCCCAAGAATAGACAATAAATTCTTGATTTCCACCAACATTTTAATCAAGCTTTTTAAACAATATCAGAAAGAATTGACTTGTTAGGTCCCTTATGTTGTCAATTCTGTGAACAAACGCTTTTTCAATTTGTAATATATGTTCTGGTTTGTCATGGACCGCTCGAGCAAAGAATCCCATGTCTCAAAAGTTTAATCAGTCTGCAAAAGTATTGGGAGGGCTCAATGTTTACTCGAGCAAACTTGTTGGTGGCTTGAGCAAAGTCACTAGTGGATTTCACGCATATGTGACACACCGCTCGAGCAACCATTCCATGGCTCAAGTGTGTGAAAGACAGAATTTAGAGCTGCATCTTCCAAAGCTTATTCTTGAGGGCTAAGGTTTCCCTCTGGAAGTTTTTTGCGTGTTTTCTTTGATGTCTTGGTGAGTTTATCTCATGATCTAAATAGTTTACATCAAAGGGTTGGTTGATCATTCAAATCAAAGAGTTCATGTTCAGTGGATTCCGGAGATTCGAGCGTGAAGGTTTGAAGGAGTTTGAAGGAGTTTGAAGCAGTTCATCGTCGTGGGTTCGACTTTGGTGTTGTGGATTCAACATCAAACTAATCAATTTTGAGTCGAAGGCATTGGTGAACGAGGCACAAGTTGTTTGAAGACAATTTTACAAAGTGTAAGGTAAATTGTTTGGTAATTTTGTGTATTTACATTCTTCATAGTGGATTGATTAATGGCGTTTCACTCGTGATTTTTATCACAATTAGAGATGTTTCAACTATGATTTTTTCCATGTAAAAATCGTTTGTGTCAATTTATTAATTTTGAAATAATAATCTAAATCACTTTCGTACGTTCTAGACGATTTAGATTGTTATTTTTGTTTGTTTGGGAGTTGTTGCAATTAAATTTGTTTCGAATCACGAATCACTTAGGTTTTTCAATTGATATTAGAGCGGGTCGCTCGTTCTTTTTTTTTTTTTTTTTTAAACTATAGGAGTGTGATTTTGTGTGATTCATGTTAATGGATTCGATTTGCGAAGGTAACTCGACCCATAGACCTCCTTTACTTGATGGAACAAACTATTCTTATTGGAAAGCTTGTATGAGAGCGTTTTTAAAATCAATTTATGAAAAAGTTTGACACTCTGTTATCTACAAGTGGAGTGAACCTATGGTTACCATCAATGGTATTGATATTCCCAAACCAATTGATAAATGGGATACAATTGATTATTAGAATTCAAGTTTCCGTCACACCTTTCATCGTATTTGTATGTGTGAGGTAGCAAAAGAGGCTTGGGACATTCTTGAAACTATTCACGAGCGTACTACTACTATTAAAGGGTCAAAACATCAACGTCTAACCTTCTCTTTTGAAACCCTTTCTATGCACGAGGATAAGACGTTTGATGAGTTTTATGCTAAACTTAGTGACATCGTGAATTTTTGTTTCACACTCGATGAAAAAAATTCCTGAATCTAAAGTGGTTGGAAAAATATTGAGGTCCTTACCCGATAGGTTCCAATTAAAAGTGACAGTTATAGAGGAAGCTCAGGATGTTAAGAACCTCAAGCTTGATCAGTTGTGAAAATCCTATGTGATTTATGATTAGATCAAGATTAACTTATTCCAAATCCCAAAAAAATCAAAACACTCAACCTAAAATCATCAAACACTTACGAGAGTGATTTAGTTTGTTTGTTTTTGAGAAAAAAACAATAAATCGACACAAACGATTTTTTACGTGGAAAAAACCACAATTGAAGAGCCTTCAATTGTAATCAAAAACCACGGGCGAACAATTCCCGGACAAAACTTTTCTAAACAAAAGTCCTTAAACACATGTACTAGACAAAATTAAAAAACAAATACTAAAATACTCAAAACAACTCTATAAACAAACAAGCTTTCCAATCTTGCCAAATATCGATCCATCAATCCAATTATCATCCATCATTCACCTGTGGAAAGACTAGCAACATACCAGAAAAACCAAAACTTGTGGAACTAGATAAGAATATAGCAAAATGTATCCATTCAATAGAACCCAAGGAACAAAATATCAAAATATCCATGTATCATAACCAAAAGAACAAAACAAACCAAAAAATACCATCAATATCCATGTACTGTATCATAACCAAAAGAACAAAACAAACCAAAAAATACCATCAATATCCATGTACTATAAATACAATATACCATCAATAGCAGAGCAGGAACCAAAACTTGTCGAATTAACGACTGCGTAGACTCAAACGCCTTTTGGATCCTACGCTTTGATCTTCGGAATCCACCGAAGAGAACTCACTTGAAACTTAAGAAGCAACCTCCTTGATGTATGAATCTCAATGCATAAGTTCAGAACTCTCTTAAGAACATCAAGGAAAAACGATCAAAAATCTCCAGAGAAGACTTTAAACACAACCCTAGTTTGTTTAGATCAGATCTAGGAAAACGTGCCCAACAAATCAACGTTAGCAGCTTTAAATAGGAATCTGGATCCGCGATCTCCGCTCGAGCTCACAACAGCCCGCTCGAGCGGACTGACCAAAAAACTGCATGCGAAGAAACTGAGATGCGCTCGAGCGTAGGAGTTTCCGCTCGAGCGTAAAATCACACCCACCAGTATCTGTGCTTGCCCTGTCAAAATACTGAGACCTGCTAATCTACGCTCGAGCTCAAAAGTCTCCGCTCGAGCGGACAGTGCAAAAACACAAAAAAATACTTTTGAATCAACACAAGGTTTTGTCTCCGGATTTGACAACATAGGGACCTAACAAGTTGGTTAGAAACGTACAGACTTATGAAGCCCATTTGATTTCCAAGAAAAAAATGAAAGATAGTGCAGCCTTTACTAGTGCTCATGAGACTACTGAGAACCTCGAGATAGAAATTGATCTAGAGTCCGAAATGATGACTATGTTTATTAAACAATTTTTTATAAAAAAAAAATTAAGAAAAAGAAGCCTAATTTCAAGGACTCTAGCTCTAAAGATAAGGTTGTTGATAAACCCAAAGTTGTTCAACCCAAAGTTGCTCTGAAGACTATGAGAGGACAAGGAGTCAAGTGCTATGAATGCCAAGGGTTTGGGCATATTGCTCTCAAATGTCCTTCAAAAAGAACTGAAAGAAAGTCTACACAATGACTTGGGATGATGAAAGCAAGTCAGAGCAAGAAGCTGAGGAAACCAAATCTGGTAAAGACGGAGATAATACCTACATGGCATTCTACTCTAGCTTTACTCAATCAACTCCCAAGCCGGTTAAGTCTGCTCGTGGACC